CTTTAATTGTAATGAGAGCAGCCAGCATACAGAGTAGCTGTGATGTGCGCACAGGGTAGCATGCTTGTTCAGATCACAGAGGCTGTGGAGTCAGGCCACCTGTGTGTGAGCCAGCTCCACTGCCTACTCAGGCGTGTTACGGAACCTCTCAACTAAGCATCAGTTTCCTCAACTGTGAAGTGAGGAAACTACTAATTAGTATGTACCTTTCAGTGTCACTGAGCAATAAGTGCAATAAATGTAAAGCATATCACCCGGTACATAGTAAGCTTTCCACGTATTGTAGCACCAAAATTTTAGGCCAGTGTGCTAGGATGCCCCGAGATTCAACTGTGAAGAAAAGTAGTTCTTGTCCCAACTTAATATTTGATTCATTCGGTCAGTAATCATTTAGTTATTATGATCATTGCATTTCTGTAGTTATACAGCTAAAAAAACACATTTACATATATCATTTAACACCTAACACAGTCTTTGAGTCAGGTGTTATCCCCATTTTACATATGAGTAAACTGGGCTCTGGAAGTTAAGTCAAGGTCCCTCAGCCAGTAAGTGGAGGAACCAGGACTTGGAGCTAGATTTTTAGACTCAAAGATCTAAGATAGTACCGTGCCATCTGGCAGGGGTCGGAAACTCAGGCACATGCAGCGGTCAGGCAGGTAATGCGCAGGAGTGATGTGGGCAGTGTGGGGACCTGGTAAGCACATGCCTTACCTGAGGAGGATCACCACCACCCAGCTCCAGCCTGTCGTAGCTTCATCTTCCAGCTTTTGGAAATAATCCCCAAATCTGGACTTGTATGTGTCATCTCCCCTATTTTGAAGGTTGGCAACTAATTCATATTCTTTTAAACACTGTCTGGGCCAAACAGTGCACCTCTTTGGGCTGAGTTAGGCCCATGGGCCGTTGGTCCACAGCCATTAGTCTATAAAATGTCCAGGGCTGTTCTAGGCACCATAGGGGATACTTGAGGCAGAAAATGTTTCAAGGGCCTGTCCTGGTTGGAGGACCACTCAGAGCTTGACAGAACGTACCAGGTCCTGGGTCCCTCTACCCTTGGCCCTCTGAGTCCCCAAGCTCTTGCATGTGAGTACCTCATCTCTAAAGAAGGCAACCTCAGTTCACCAAGCAAGGCACTGTGACGGGGCTTTATAGCAGCCTCCACGACACATCCAAGGGGAGCTGTGGAAAAGCCCACATCACCCTTGACTTCTCTGCCTTGTCTAGTGCTAGGTTTAGGCCCATTACCCCAAAGGTCACTGCTGAATGCTGGCTGAATTAGAAAGAGTGTGCCCACAGGGTGTCCTTGGACCCAACCCTGCCCCTCAGAGATCTGAGCACAGTGGCAGCTTCCAGATCAGCCCACCGCCCCAGAGTAGGCCTGGCAGGATATAGTAATAACCACCATTCACCACATCTTGGTTCTCTTGACAGTTTTAAACCATCTGGCTGGATCTCGTGGCCTTCCCCCTCAGACTCCCCTATGTCTCTGCGAAGGCGTCCTGGAGTTACTTCCAAGAGCAGCAGCGGTGGCAGCAGCAGAGGGGAGCTGGGTCGGGGTGGGCATTAGATGCGGGAGGGGGGTGGTGTGCTTGCTAGCTGGGCAACAAAGCAGCAGTGGACCTGCCCCAAGGCCACACGTGCCTGGTCAGGCTGGCTTCTGATGTTCAGTCCCCTGGGCCGGGACAGATTTTTTTTAACGTCTTGAAACTTAAACTCTGTGCTTGTAGGAGACCGTAACCTTTTTGTCTTTTTTTTTTTTTTTTTTTTTAAAAACAAACAACCTCCACCTCCAGTGGCTGTGACTGGTCCCAGTGATTGTACCTTATTGGTCGCTGTGGGTCTGGGCGGGCCTGGAGCCAGAAGGCGACTACTGTTCCTCCCCCGAGCCACCCCAGGTGGGGAGGGAGGGAGGTTTCAGACTCCAGTTCCTCTCCCTTGCCCTCTTATTCCCAAACCTCCTTGGGCCCAGTAGAAGTGGTGGGGACCCTCTGCCAGCTTCCTGAGCTCTGCCTAAAGATGGCCACTGAGCACTGGTTAGGGACAAGGGGTGAACCGGTGGCCACCAGCCACGCCTAGGAGCTGGGACCCAAAAGCCAGGTATCCTCTGGCTGCAGGGTCCACTTCATGCCCTCCCAGCTCAGAGGGGCCACTGTTTCGCCTTGTGTATCAGTGCAGTGCCTGTGCTAGAGGTGGAGAGGTGAGTCCTCCAGAGCTTGCTCTGGGCCCTCCCACCTGCTCTGGCTCCTCTGCTCCCACGCTCGCTGTACCTTTTCTTATTCTGGTGGATCCTCCCTCCCCTAATTAAAGTCTCTTCTTGCCCCTTTGGGGCTGCATGAGGTCTGTGCTCTGTTTGTATATGTGAAAGGAGGGGAGGTGGGGCTTTTTCTTCCCCAGGACCATGTGGCTTGTACTTGGGCCAGAGGCAGTCTCATAATTGGTCCCTGACATTATCCCTGCCAAGGGCCCCGACCCAGAGACCTCCATTGCAGTCCAGGCACCACCCATTTCTGAAAGCGCTCTCTCTGCCTGTGTGGACATTTGGTCCTTTTCACATAACGAGCTCATTTGGGCTGAATAACCTCAGAGAAATAATGATCCCATTTCGTGGCTAAGGAAACAGGTTCCATGAGATGCAGCAGCTTGCTCCTGCCAGTGAGCAAGAGAGTAGACATCAAACCGAAGATTTTTGCCTCTGCCTATGCTAAGACAATAATCACTAGCCACATGTGGCTATTTAAGTTTAAATTATTACAATTAAATAAACTTTAAAATGCACTTCTTCTGTGCCACCAGCAACATTTCAAAGTGCTCAGTAGCTACAAGTGACTGGTGCCTACCGTGTCAGACAGTACATATATAGAATATTTCTGTCATCACAGAACGTTCTATTGGATAGAGCTACACCTTGGTGACACCTTGAAGTAATAAAAAAAAAAAAAACTTGTGTTTCAATTCTGACTCTTGCTGCTGAATTTGAAAAAGTTATATTCTGTGCCTCAGTTTCTTAATCTGTAAAGTGGAGATAATGTGAACAATTGGACACACTACCTGCTATACAGGTATTGAATTAACAATAGCCAGTCTTTCCACCAGCCCAGCATCCAAGCTGTTTGATAACTTCCACCATGCTACACCTGGGCGTTGACATGCCTGTCTTGGAGAGACTTGGGGGGCTGGTACAAGATCTAGGTGTATAAAGAGACAGGTACACTGAAGTTTTTCATATTCACTAATGGAAGTCTCTGGGACCCCACAGGCGGTATATTTATGGAAGAGAGTGTCAGGGAAAGTTTCAAAAGGGTCCTTTGAGCTGAGCTTTCAAAAGAGTTTCTTCCAGATGGCCAAAGGGGTCTCTTGAGGCAGAGGAAAAGGTCACGTTAAAGGGAGGAGGGGGTGGGGGCAACTTGGGCAGCTACCATCCCCTTTATGACATTACCTCTGTGACCTCCCCCTCCTGCCTTGCAGAATTAGGTGTGCCCTTGTCTGGGCACATGCCTATGTTCTGGCTTTGCAGTGAGTGTTAAAGGTGCTCATGGTGAAGCTGGATGTCTGCTAGAGCATGGCAGCTCCTCACTCAGTCTTCACAGGACCGCATCACTGGGGTGAGCCCCAACTCTCATTTGTCACAGATTCATCTTGCAGGGTCCAGAGCCCCTAAAGCCGAATTTGCCAGCTGATGAGAACAGACTGGATGGTTGCCAATCAGCCAGCCCTCTCCTGGAGGCATGCCTTTTGGGAAAGCCAGTCACCAGCCAAAGGAGGGTTGGGAAGGGTGATGGCAGTGGTTGGGGTTGACTGAACAGCTAGGTGGAGGGCCCACCTTCACTGTACAGGAAGATCTACCCGCACACGAAACTGGTTTCTTGGACTCTGCTTCAATGGGCACTGCTAGAATTTGCCTCTCAAACTGCCTGTTTGGTATTTCCATGACCAATAGGCAACGAGTCTAAGTGTTAACAAGGACTTACATTTAATAATGTTTATGTTTAAAAGTAGGGCTTTGGAGTCAGACCTGGGCTTCAGTGCTGGTTCTGCTGTGCGATATGAGGCAAATTATTTAACACCTTGGAGCCTTATTTATCTCACCTGTGACTTTTGAGTATAGTATTTTGCCACTATCTCCAAAAAGGTTACTTACAGTCTTGTCTTGGGGACTGTGCATAACTGTTTTATTACATTTTTTCTGCAGTTGACTTAAATGATAATTTTCCATTTCCAAGTTATTGTGGGGTGGGGGTGGGGGTTGTGCACTCTGCACTGTTATCACTGTTTCCCCTATATCCTGCCCTGGCTTTCAAATCTAGCCCCAAGGATCTTACCCTAGCCCCATATGCCAGGCCCTGCAGATCTGATCCGTCTCACCAGGCTCCAGCCACACTGGCTGCCATGAGTTCCCCAGAAAGGGTCTTGAACCCTTCTCGGGGCTGGTGCGGAGAATTTCTTATCCCTGGAATGCTATTTCTCCCCTTTTCCCTGGTCAACTCCTGAACTCCTTTGCACTCCGTAGGCTTCAGCTTAAATGTCACCTCTTCCAACAGGACAACCTTGACTGCCTTATCTAAAGTATGCCCCCTTCCTGGTTTCAGTTCATTGCTTGTTCATTGCCAGGATCGTACCTACAGCTGTTGTATGCCTTTGTTGCTTGCTTTTTGTTTCCCCTCCGCTGGACTGTAAGCTCCGTGAGGTCAGGGATCACCTGTTGTTTATTCTTCCGGCCCCCAGCGCCTAGCCCAATCCGTAGCACTTGATGCTCTATAAATACTGTAAAATGACTGAAGCTCCAGGAAGTGCACAAGGGACAATGACACCGATAGTAACTGGCAGCCCCAGTGCTCTGCGTTTCCACCTTCAGTGACCCGCTCATCAAGGGTCTGGGGCAGGTGAGGGCTGGAGTTCGGCCCGCTGGAGTGAGCCAGCGAACTCGCCATTGGCGGCCAGATTGTGCGGAATGGTTTCCAAGGCGACAGCAAACAGAGGGCGGGGCCTCGGAGCCGGGCACAGGCCTGGGCAGGGCCCTCCCCAAGAGGCGGTGGCGCGCGGAGGGGGAGGCGGGCTCTGGGATACTGGGAGGGCCCGCGCGGGGAGGGGCCGATGCCGGGCCCCGGCGCGGCGCTGCTCCTGAGCCCCGGGGAGTGGGGGGCCGCACACCGGGGCTCCGCCGCCTGGGTCCTCCAGGAGGGCGACCTGGGGTGCAGCTGGCCGAAGAAGCCGCAGCTGCCCGAACCACGCACCAGTTCCCCCGCCCCATGGCCCTGGGCGCGCCACTCCCTGTCCCGGCCTCCAGAGACACTGCCATGGCCCGGGACCACCTCCGCCCGGTGCGACGGGGCTCGCGCAGGCGGCAAACGCCGGACGGGCAGCCCCGCCTCTGCGCGCCCGCTGGGCTGCGCCTTCGGGTCGCTCGCTCGCTGCACCCCTGCCCAGGGCGCCGCGTATCCCCGCCCCCTCGGGCCCCCGCAGGCGTCGGCCCTGGAGGAAGCCTCGCCGCAGGACGGTGAGGCGCGTTGCGGCCAGCCCATCCTGGCCTGAGGCGGGGGCGGCGGCGAGGCCGAGACGGCTTGCGGTAGAGGGAATGTGGGTAGAGAGAAGAGTGGTAGAGGGTGGGCATCCGGATGAAGGGTGGAGAAAGAGAAGGAGTGTGGGCATCCGGGGCCGGGAGAGATGCCAGGCTGAGCCCCCATCCTGCCCCATCCCACTCCGGATCTTTCTGCAGGTTCCCTTGTCCTCTGGCGAGGATTCTCCAAGGCGTCTCATCACATGGGCCGGCTCAGGAGCGCCAAGATGCACGTGGAGAGAGCTGTCAAGGTCGGAGGGGGCTGGGAGGTCTAGAAAGGGCCCTGAGAGTGTCTCGGCCTGCCTCCCTGCACTATTTTCTCCTATCCTTAACAGACAAACAAAAAACCAAAAGCCTTGATCCCACACACATCTTCAAATACCTCCCCAATTGTCAGTACCCCTTCACAGCAGAACTTCTTGGCAGAATTGTCTACTTCTTCACCTGGGATTCACTCAGTTCCCACCACACTAGCTCCCTGCTCTGCCCCAGTCCCCGGGAACCACTATAGTCGAGGTCACTGGTGACCTCCAAAGAGCCAAATCCAGCAGTTCCTTTTCTGTCCTAATCTCAGTTGGGCACCCTGTGTCATTGTACACTGCTGCCCCACACCCCCTTCCCTCTTGGCTGTCAGCACACACCTGGCTTTCCTTTGACCCTCCCTGGCTGCTGCTTTTCAGTTGCCTTTGAAGGCTCCTCCGGACATTGACGGTTCCCTGGATCCCTCCCCACACCTGTCTCCTTGACTGTGAGTCCGGTCAGTGTGCTGTGCCCCCTCCATGCCCTTTCCAGCGCAGCCTGGAAACTCCACACTCGGTACGCCTATTTGACATCTCCACCCAGAGAACTTGTAAGAATTTTAAACCCATGTCCCAAACCATCCTCTTGATTTTCCTCCCCAAACCTGTCCTCCTCCCTAGTCTCTGGTCTTCCCCATCTCTTGGTTGCTCAAGCCAGAAATCTGGTTTTCTGTTCACTCACCCACACATCTAATCCCGTCAGCAGGACCAGTCATCCCTATTTTAGCTCTTATCACCTTCTCCCCATCTCCACTGTAATCACCCTCATTCTAGCTATGGTGATTTCTCTCTTACACAAACCACACCAGCCTTCTAAATGTTCTCCCTGCTTCCTCCTGTCCCCTCCATCTATCCTCTGTACGGCAGCAAGCCGAACTTACAAAGCCTCCAATCGCATCACTCTCTCCCTTTGCCTTTGTTGCTTCACACTGCTCTTATAAAATCCAAGTCCGTCCCAAGGCCTGCGGGACCTTCCACAGTCTAGCCACTGCCTACCTGCTCAGGAGCTCTGTCCTCATTTTCCACACTCCACTCCCTTGGCTTCCTTCCAGTTCCTTTTGACCTGTATCCAGCCTCAACACCTTTGCACATGCTTTTCCCTCCACCTGAATGGCCATTTGCCCAGCTCTGTACATTCATGGCTCCTTCTCAACGTTCCCTGACCATGAATATATTTCTGGTTTCTCTGGGTCCCCGTTAAGTATCCAGTTCTTGGAGCCAACAAGTCTGGATTTAAATCCCTGTTTTTTTCACTTAACCACTGTGTGGCCAAGGTACTCAACCTCTATATGCCCCTGTTTCATAATCAGTTAAACGGGGGTAATAACATCTATTAAAAATACATATTATTGTTAAGAATGTATATAAGTGCTTAGCACATAGTAGGGACTCCATAAATATTGGCTATTACCATTATAATTATTACTATGCATATTTGTTTCCCTGCTTGTTTATAATCTGTCTCCCCTACTGGAAGATAAAAATTTCCTGAAGGCAGAGACCGTAACTGTGGTTCACCATTATATTTCCTATATCTGGCACTTAGGTAATACTTACTGAACAATGATCCTTCTCTAAACTTACAGCAGAAGAAGATCTTTATGATCCAAGGCCGCTACCCGGTGATCCGGTGCCTCTTGCGCCGGAGGGGCTGGGTGGAGAAGAAGATGGTCCGTCACTCGGGCACCGCCCTGCCTCTGCCCCGGAAGGATCTGGATAGCTCAGTAGTGGGTAATAGCGACACCACTGAGGACGGTGAGCAGTCCCTCCCTTTCCACAAACTGCCCCTCCTGAGCCCCTTTCCTTTCATTCCTGCTGTCCCAGGGTTGAGGTTTTGGTACGGGCCTATGGGCAGGGACAGGGGCCTCACCAGACCTGGGCTCTGCATCCACAGAGGATGAAGATGAAGACGAGACATTCCAGCCACCACAGCTGTTTGATTTCGATGATTTACTGGAATTTGATGACCTAGATGGGACACATGCTCTAATGGTAAGGGGCCAGAGGGCTGCTTAGTCAGAAGGAGAGCACTAGAGTCCAGCTGGGTGACCTCAGACAAGTCCTTTCCTTCTCTGGGCTTCAGTTTCCCCATCTGTAGTAAAAACCAACTGCTTCTCTAAAGCCTAGATGGGCCTGCAGCGCGGTGAGGGACGTAATGGAGTTCACACAAGGCAGGCCTGGGGTCAGAACTCTGTTAGGTCGTGTCAGAAGCTGGCACAACCTCCACGCCTGGTTATTCCCCCTTCCAAATAAAAACCCCGTCGTTCGTCTCCTTTTTCTGCCCTTGGCAAGTGAAGGCTGGAAAGAAGGGCTTAAAAAGTTCTAAAAGAGGCTGATATGATAATGTGGAGGATATATGTGTAGCAGTAAGGACACGTGGCTTCAAATCTTGGAACCACTACTTACTAAGTTTAACTATACCAAATTGCCATTTTTCTGTCAGGAAAGGTTGAGTGTTGGCAATTTTATATGGCTCAACCTTGTGAGCCCTTGGACATTGACCCTCCCTGTGCCTGAGTTCCCTCCTCGGTGAAATGGGGATAACAGTAGCACCTACCTCATAGGGTTGTGGTGAGGATTAAATGAGCTGAACAAGGCCTGGCATGTGGTGTTATTGCTTATTAATAATCCCACCTCCCAGAGTTGTAGGAAGGATGGAGAGAAAGAGCCAACGAGAGAGCCTTTTGTCACATTCTATGTGCCCATCAGCTTGAAGTCACTGTCCTGTCACTGAGCAAGTCACTGATGGCCATGGGCCAGAACAAGGTGTGGTGTTCAGTTGTGCGGCTTGGTCACTGCCTAGGGGCACCTGGCCAAAGGAGGCTGCAAGCCTGCCTACTCTCTGCTGACCAAGCGTGTGCCCTGGAGGAAGAGATGTCTTTCCTTACCTCACACAAAGATGGCAGGTGGGCCAGAGGCCACCCTGGAAATATCCTCTCTTTCCATTCACCCACCCTGCTCAGCATGGAGGGGGGAAGCTGCCTCAAGCCTTGTGCTGCCCACACCAGCCTCCTGTCTCCTCCCCTGTCCCCAGTCTCGCATGGTTCGGAACGAGATCCCCTACTTCATCTGGACCACTCGGCGGGACGTGCTGGACTGCCGCTTTCTCTCCAAGGATCAAATGATAAACCACTATGCCCGGGCTGGCTCCTTTACCACAAAGGTGGGCTCCCCAGGGCGTGGGCATGGCAGCTTCCAAACCCCCCAGCCCTTGAGTGGGCAGCCTGGCTCCCTGCTCTCCTTGTCAGTAAGAGAGAGTACTCAGGAGAGGGAGAGGTATATAATTCAGTGGAATTTGGCATCAGACAGGCAGGCCAGGGTTCAAATCTAACCCCTGCAGCATTCCTGCCACATGTAGACATAATGACTAAAATGGATTCCAGGATCCAAACAGGATCTGAAGCCAGAACAAACACCAATTCCAATGACTGTGAGAAAGAGGGCCCTTACCCTCCTAAGCAGAGGCTATCTGCCTGATGAATCCATTCTATCTACCTGGGTTTATTAACAAGTGGTTTTACCTCTCTGAGCCTCAGTTTCCTCTTCTTTAAATGAGGATACCAATAAGACCTATCTTTTAGGCTTGTGGCAAGAATGAAGGGCTTTCTAATTGGGACCTGCTCATATATTATTAGTGTGAGGTGGGAAGGATTCCTAGAGGAAGCAGGTATTTCAGAATGTGGAAGGGGGGAGGGGAGGGATTCGGGGCACTCTCAGCAGGGGGAACCTCATGGGCAAACATATGGAGATGGATACAAGAGAGTCAGGCCTAGCAAGTGGGGCAGAGGCTCTGAGAACGTCCAAGCAGGGTCTCCCTGAGCTGTCTGGGTGTGTGCTGAGCATCGGGGGTCCCTTGAAGGCTCTGTGGGCAAGTCCCACCCTGCCCCCTCAGCGGCTAACTCCATAGGTGGGTCTGTGTCTCAATCTCCGCAATTTGCCGTGGTTTGACGAGGCTGATGCTGATTCCTTCTTCCCGCGCTGCTACCGCCTGGGAGCTGAGGATGACAAAAAGGCCTTCATAGGTAAGGAGGTGCCTAGCCCCGTGCCTGGACGGGCAGAAGGATGAGGGCCAAAGCCCTGGCTCATGTTGGAGAGCAATGGGCCTCTCTCTCATGCCCTCATCTACCAGCAGATTTCCTTCTCCAGCCCTGATCCTTATCGTTCCCTAAGTACCTCCCTTAATGAGCCTCCTAGTTTGGTCAACCCAGACCTCCAGAAGAGCTTAGGTAGCTTAGCTCACATTCTAGAGCAGGTTCTAAAAGTTGGCCGATGGGTTGAGTTTGGAATCCAGGATAGGTTCCTGGCCTGTGTCAAATTCCGCTGGCTTGATTGGGTTCCAGATGTAGAAAAGGCTCTAGACTTGGAGCTTGTGAGGCAGAATAGTTTCCAACTCCAGAACATGTTCTAAATTCAGGTCAGAATTTGGGTCCAGATTACATGCTAGGTTTAAATTAGTCTCCAAATCTGAAATAGGTTTTGGGCCAAGGTCTGGTTCTCAGGCTAGAATAAGTATCAAAAGTGGATCAGGAACAGAAGAGAGAAATCAAACAACAGGTCCAGGGGAGATTCTGAAGACAGCATATAAGCCAAATCAGGTCGAATTCTGGGTCTAGTTCTACAACTGAAACAGAAGCCAGGTTCTAACCCAGGTTCTAGTGTCAGATATTAGTCAGGTTCCGGATCCAAAATGGGGTAGGTCATGATCAGGTTCCGGAACCAGAACAGGCCTGGAGCCTAGGGGCTGAGCAGGGTATCCCCTGCCCCGGGAGCAGAGGACTTCTGGCTGACAGCTGCCCGCAACGTTCTCAAGCTGGTGGTCAAGTCCGAATGGAAGTCATACTCTATCCAGGCAGAAGAGGAAGAGGCCTCAGGTAAGTTCTTCCATTACCTCTGCTCCCCCACCCATTTATCCTCCCATCCATCCACCCATCTATTCATCCACACATCTATGTATTATCCACATCCATCTGCCCATCCACCACCCCTTCCCACCAACCCATCCATACATCTGCCCACTCATCTGTCCTTTCATCTGTCTACTCACCCGTCTACCCACCTACTCACCCACCCTCCCACTGATCTCACATTCACCTATGCATCCATCCATTCATGCATCCATCTCCCACCTATCCCCCTACCATCAGTCTACTCATTCTCTTACCTTCTCTCAGCTCCACACTCCCAGTCCATCTGTCCACTCCTCCACCTTACCTGTCCTTCCATAGACCCATCTACCCTTCTGCTTTTCCATCCTCCTATCTGCTACTTGTCTATCCTCCAGTCCATCTACTTGTCCATTCTTCTGTTGCAATCACTCACCCACCTGTCTTCCTATCCATTTGTTAGTCAATCCACTGCCTCATTAAGCTCTCCCATGGGCCTGCAGTGTGGCCAAGAGCTCTAGAGAGGACAGACTAAGAAGACATGGTCCATCCTTGCCTGTGGGGAGCTCAGGTCTCTGAGGAGGAGGAAGCAGTGAAATGAAACCATGTAGTTTCAGGTGGTCTGAGGACCCCGTGTGCCTTGTGGAGGAGGATACAGACAATCCCTCACTGCTTCTTGGCCCAACCCATTGTTTACCCTTTTTCTCTCTGGACTTAGCTCCTACCGCAAAGCCCCCATCCTGTAATCCAGGGGCCCATCAGCCAGGGATTCAGGGAAGTAAGGGGCAGCTCTAGTGGGAGGAGGAAAATCCCTGCCTCTTCCAAAGGGAGACCTCCCTATTGCTGTCTCCTGGGTGTGTCAGGTGCAAAGAAGACTGTTGAGTGCCAGAATCAGGAGCACAAGGGCCTCAGGTGTGTCAGAGGTCCCAGGAGCAGAGAGGCTGCAAGTGTGTGCTGAGGCCATAGGTGCAGAGAGGCTTTGGGACATTTAGGGTGGAGCCTCAGTGGGACAGTAGGGGCCAAGGGCAAGTGCTAGGGTGGCAGGTGAATTTAGAACAAAGCCTCAGGTGAGTAAGAGGTCCCACGGCAGTAGGGGATGCTAGTGTGTGTTGGGCCTCAAGTGTATTTAGGTGAGACCCTAGGTAAGTGACAGGCCTTGGGGTAATAAGGCACATGTCAGGTTCTGCTTTGCATGTGGGATAGTGACAGGCCCCTCCTTGTTTCTACAGGAGACAAGCAGCCCGAGAAACAGGACGGAAAGCCGGGGATGGTGTCCTCAGAGTTTGTGGATGAGGCTCTGCGTGCATGTGAGGAGCACCTTAGCAACCTGGCCCACATGGACATCGACAAGGACCTGGAGGCTCCAATGTATCTCAGCCCTGAGGGCTGGTCCCTCTTCCTCCAGCACTACTACCAAGTGGTCCAGTGAGTACCTCTGCAGCCAGGACTGTGGGGCATGGGCAGGTGCCCCTTGTTCTCAGGGGGCTTCCATGTTCTGAGAATGAGAGGCCTTGCCAAGCCTGCTCTGGCTGTCCCTGTTCCTGGCACTGCCCCAGTGGCTGCTGCTGCCTTCTTATTCCACGGCTGGAAACATTCAGGAGGCTGAGATGTTAAAGGCAAGTTCGCGTCCAGTGGCTTCCTTCCTGTTTAGTCAGAAGAAAAGAAATGGAGGAGTTTGGATGAAGCCGCCATTGAGGCATTTTGTGACTTGGTTTCGTTCAGGACATTTTGTGCCCTGTAGGGAACAGGTTCCCTCTTTGTCCATGAGCCCCTATCTCTACAGCCCACTTGCTGAGGCAGGCTCCTGCTAAAGTTCTTGCTTAGCCAACCATTCATTCATTTAACAGACTCATAGGGAGCGCCTAATAAGTGCCAGGTATACTGCTTGGCGATAGGAATGCAGCAGAGAATAAAACTACAAGACATGTTCCTGCTCTTATGGAGCTTGAATCCAGTCAAGGGAGACAGACAATAACCAATTAAGCATCGGTGTAAGGTGGTTAAGTGATGGGAAGAGAAATAAAATGAGGAGATGTATGATTCAGTTGTGCTGGACAGGAATTAGACGAGGCAAGGACCCAACCATCCACCAGTCTTAGGTCCAGATTAGGAGGAGATGAACCCCAAAAAGTACCTGTGGGTGGAGGCATCAGGCGGGAAGGAGTGTGCATCCTGGCTCAGCTACTTAACTCAATGTGTGGCCTTGGGCAAGTCCCTTAACTCTCCAGGCTTCAGTTTACACTTCTTTAAAATGGGACCAGTAATGCCTCTCTGGCAGGACCATAGAAGGGATTGGTGATAACGTATATAAAGCCCTTGGCACAGTGCCTGGCACATAGTTGTGCCTTATCATTAGATGCTGTATGATTAAATTCTGCCAAAGGTAGTGTTACTGTAATAGAAAGGGAGGCAGCAGAAGGTGGCTTATTGGAGTGGGAGGGGATGCAGTAGGTGGAATTTTCCCATCCTCTCCCATCCCAGCAGTCTGGGACGGTGCCCTGGGCAGGTTACAATTTGTGGGAACAGCTTGTGGGGATGGAGGTTTGGGAGAGACCTATCTGGATCTCTAGGGGAGGGTGCGACCAAGGTTAGTTGGACCATGGCCAGGGGGGCTTGTGTCTCCCCTTGCCTTGTCCACCGGGCTGCCCCCAGCCCAGCATTGCCCAAGTCCCATCATCTCCCCACAGCGAGGGGGCAGAACTCAGGCACATCGACACTCAGGTCCGGCGCTGTGAGGACATCCTGCAGCAGCTGCGGACTGTGGTGCCCCAGATGGACATGGAGGGAGATCGCAACATCTGGATCGTGAAGCCAGGAGCCAAGTCCCGTGGACGAGGTGGGGTTAGCCCCTGCTTCCTGCACCAGCACCCTATGACCTGCCTCCCCATCTAGAGGCCAGGGAGGTTAATAGTGCAGGCTCTATTGGAGCCAAATGGCCTGCATTCGAATCCCAGCTCTGTTACTAATATGCTGTGTGACCTTGAGCAAGTTATATCGCCTCTTTGAACCTCAGTTCCCTGATCTATGAGGGATGATAATACCTCCTGTGAAGTGAGGATTAAATGAAGTAGCACATCTAAAGCTCAGCATGGTGCCTGGCCCAGAGTAGTCACCTCATAAACAGCTGCTGCGATGGTGATGCCAGCTCCTCCTCTCCTGCCCTTGGACTTGGGTTAATGCTTTAGGTAGATCTGGTGATACCCATGTGCAGTTGCTTGTCATCTAAGGGCTCTCAGATCCGACCAGGGCATCCTTGTTAGGTGTGGCATAGTGGTTAAGGGTATGGATGCTGGGAGCCAGACTGCCTGACTTCAAACCAAAGTTCTGCCTCCTACTATCTGTACAACTTTGGCAGGTTACGTAACCTCTTCTGTGCCTCATTTTCATCGTTGGTAAAATGAAGCCAATAATACGTACCAGAGAGGATTAAATGAATCTAATATATGTAAAGTGCTTAGATCCTGTGCTTTTACATAGTAACTGCTATATAAGTGCTATTATTTTTAGCTATTATTCTGGCTACTCAGTCCAGCATGAATGGAATTTGAACAGAAGAGCCAGCAAGCTGGATGGTGCATTAGCCAGCATTTAAAAACTGCTTAAAGGACTCCCGAGATACAGAAAACAGCCTTTTGGCAGGTCCCTCCAAAGACTGCCCTTGGGTGAATTTGTTCGTGTCGGCATGGGGCTTCTGCAGCTGCAGACACTGTGGGACTCTCCTCTTGGGGATATCACTTCAAAACCAGCATCGTGGTCTTTTCTTTTTCTGCCTAGGAAATAGTTACTTTGGTTTTTTTCCGAGTATGAAAATATGTATTATAAAAATATATATCAGACAATACAGAAAAGTAGAAGAAAGTACAAGCCACCCTTGATTTCACTGAGATAAATTCTCTTCACCTTTCTTCACTTCCTTCTATGCATCTGGAGAGTCTGTGTGTGTGTGTGTTTTATTTTAAACAAGAACATCCTATTCTGTACCTTCCTTTTTTCATTTATTGTATCTTTCCATATCAGTTAATATTACTCATTTCTTTTTTGCACCTTTCTTTTTTCTTAAATAGATCTTGGAGATCACTCCATTTCAGTACATCTAGATCTGGTTTTTTTTCTTCTGTTTTTAGCTTTTTGCTATGGATACTTTCAAACATACACAAAAGCAGAGAGAAGAATACAATGAATCCCCATATGCCTAGCACCAAATTTCAACATTTTCTCTCCATTTTTAGAAAAACTTCGTTGAAATGTATGTACAATATGCTTCATTGAAAAGCGTACACCTTGTGAGTATACAGCTCAAGGAATTGTCACAAAGTGAACACACTCATGCAAACAGCACTCAGATCGTGAAGGAAAACGTGAGCTGCACCCTGGAGAGCTCTCCCATGCCTCCTCCCGGTCTCGCCTCCCCACAGTGGGACTCCCCAGTCTCACTTACACCACCATAAATTAGTGTTGCCTGTTTTTGAGTCGTATATGAAAGTACAGAATGTATTCTCGTACTTCATTCTGTTTTACTGCTGCATGGTCTAGTCTTGTTTGGATGTGCTGTCATGGACTTACATAATCCTTTTCTGATGGATGCTTAGATGGCTGCCAGTTTTTTCCTATTTATTCGCTTATTGACTGATTGATTGTTATTACAAGCAACACTATGATGAACATCCTCTGCAAATATCTATGTGGCCTTTCCATTTATTTCCTTAGGATAAATTCCTAGAAATGAAATTGCTGGGTCACAGGGCATGAGCAGTCTTAATCTTTGGTTACACAAGGCATCGTGTTCTTGGGAATCTTGGTGATCACCCTGGCCATTTGAGAAAGGATCTGGCTTGGGGAACCAGGCACAAGTTATTCTGTGCCATTGGCAGGCGATCACACTGCTTTGAGAGCCAGTGAAGGAATGAGACTAAGATTGTGAGTGTGTGTTTGGTTTGCAATGATTCTGATGTTTATCAGCATTAAATAATGCCTTATAAGCATAAGATACTTATTGATTGATTCATTCGTTGATTCGTTATAAACCATAAAATTAAAATACCATTTTCTACCTAGGAGAATGGCAAAAATAATCAACAGTGTTGGTAGAATGTGGGCAGACACAGTCTCACACACTCTTGCTGGGAGTGCACATTGGTAGATGGTCTTTGGTAATATAAAGTGAAAAAATGCACATACCCTTGGATCCAGCAAATCTATGGCTAGAAATTTATTCTATAGGTAACTAATAATAATTATATGAGTTAACATTTACTGAATGCTCACATGTGCCAAGCACTATTCTAAATCCTTAAGATGTTTAAATGTATAGAATCCTAGAAACTGAGGCATGTATAGGCTCTCCTTAACCAGGGAGGATATTCATAGGACCTGGAAGCAGCAGCTGGCTGCCTCTGAGGAACGAGATGTATTTTATTGTGTAGGCTTTTGGTTCGGCCTACTTTTTGTTTCTCTTGTTTTGTATTCTGTTAATTATTGGGGGAAAAAAACTAATCAAAGTCATATACTCACAGTTTTGCTTTGTTTCTTAAGATTTTATTTTTCCTTTTTCTCCCCAAAGCCCCCCAGTACATAGTTGTATATTTTTAGTTGTGGGTCCTTCCAGTTGTGGCATGTGGGATGCCGCCTCAGCATGGCCTGATGAGTGGTGCCATGTCTGCACCCAGGATCCGAACCAGCGACAGGGTTTTGCCGAAGTGGAGCATGAGAAAACTGCTCAGGCATGGGGCTGGCCCCTGCACATAGTGTTCTGTGGGTTTTTTTAATTTTTATTTTTTAAAGATTTTATTTTTCCTTTTTCTCCCCAAAGCCCCCGATACATAGTTGTATATTTTAGTTATGGGTCCTTCTAGTTGTGGCATGTGGGATGCCGCCTCAGCGTGGCCTGTTGAGCAGTGCCATGTCTGTGCCCAGGATTCGAACTGGTGAAGCAGAGCATGTAAACGTAACCACTCGGCCACAGGGCCAGCCCCTGCACATAGTTTTTTAAAAAGTCCAGTACTGTTTGAATTTTTATGTCTGTGTATATTCCTTTTCAACCAACAAAACTGGTTAATTTTAAAAATTTTTAAATGCTTAGCTATTCTTAGCTTTGCCAAAGGGAACAGGGTGGGAAACATCCTTTCCCACTTGGCCCAGTCAGTTCTGTGGAGTTTGTGATGAAGCTGTCCGTGGCCCTTCTCCCAGCCCAAGCCTGACCTTATCCCTTCCCCCCATTTCCCCTTAGGCATCATGTGCATGGACCATCTGGAGGAGATGCTGAAGCTGGTGGATGGCAACCCCATGATGATGAAGGATGGCAAGTGGGTGGTGCAGAAGTATATTGAGCGGCCCCTGCTCATCTTTGGCACCAAGTTTGACCTGAGACAGTGGTTCCTGGTGACTGACTGGAACCCACTTACCGTGTGGTTCTACCGTGACAGCTACATCCGCTTTTCCACACAACCCTTCTCCCTGGAGAACCTGGACAAGTGAGCCCCATTGCTTACCTCCCATGAGCTCTCGGTCTAGTTGGGGAGCTGGCAAGGAACAGGAGATTCCAGTGCAATGCTGGGCTCCAAACACAGACTCTGCAGGCAGGCAGGCCTCCATCCATCTACCTATCCTTCTATCCAGCAGATACCTACCGAGTGTGTACCCTGTGCCATTCACTGGTCTAGGCACCTGTGCTACAACAGTGAACAAAACAAGAGGCCAGCTCTCAAGAGTTCACATTCCAGCAGGGGGAAACAGACAAGCATATATGAACATAATGAACATAATAAGTAAAATTATCTAATAGGTTAAAATGTAATATGTGTTAGAAAAAGAAAATGTAGAGCAGGGTAAGGGAGCAGAAGAAATGCAAGAGGAAAGAGGCAAGTTGCAGTATTAACTTGGGGGGTGAGAGGAAGCCTTGTCGAGCCTTGGGGTCAAATTCCACCTAATGCAGCTTCCAAGCTGTGTGACTTTAGTCAAGTGAAAACCTATCGAAGCTTCAATGTCCGCATCTGAAGAATGGAGGCAGTCACACGAAACTCATAAGTATAGCTGTCAGTTATTGAGAGCTTCGTATGTGGCTGATGCTAATCACTTGTTGTATGTTATCTCAGTCATCTATGAAAACCCAATGAAGTGGGTCCTGTTACTTCCCCCATTACAGATGTGGAAGGAGCACTTGGGTTAAATGACTTGCCCAAGATCTCACAGCTAGTCAGTGGTGAAGCCAGGACTTGAGCTCATGTCTTGGTGACCACAGGGCCCATGCTCTTACCCACCTTCTTATCTTCCAGGCACTGGGAGGGTTAGCTGAGACTATGCACAAAGCACTTAATACTGACGCCCCCATAGTCGATGTCCTCAGAGAGATCCTGAGAGAGAAGACTGGCTCTGGCCCTAGAAGAATGAGATGGCACCCAAGCCTTTGTCCTTCCTTGTCCTCCCTAGCAGGGCCCCATCTCAGGTTGAACAGTAAAGGTGGCCTAGGCCTGGTTCCAGGGTTTGGCTGCCCTCCCCAAGTTTGGGGGGGAGGGATACAGGGAACCAGACCTCAGCTTTCTGTTCTCTGTCCCAGTTCAGTGCACCTGTGCAACAACTCCATCCAGAAGCACCTGGAGAATTCATGCCATCGGCACCCGCTCCTGCCCTCGGACAACATGTGGTCAAGCCAGAAGTTCCAGGCCCACCTTCGGGACATGGGGGCCCCGAATGCTTGGGCCACTGTCATTGTGCCGGGCATGAAGGCCGCAGTGATCCATGCCCTGCAGACCTCCCAGGACACTGTGCAGGGTCGGAAGGCCAGCTTCGAGCTCTATGGCGCTGACTTTGTGTTTGGTGAGGACTTCCAGCCCTGGCTGATTGAGATCAACGCCAGTCCAACCATGGCGCCCTCTACGGCTGTTACCGCCCGGCTCTGTGCCGGTGTGCAAGCCGATACCCTGCGCGTGGTCATTGACCGGCGGCTGGACCGCAACTGTGACACAGGAGCCTTTGAGCTCATCTACAAGCAGGTGAGGTGGCCCAGCCCAGGCAGGCCTCCAAGGAGTCTGCCCCCTCTTCCAGGCAGCCCCATAGTGAGGCACAGGGCACTGCAGTCAGACAGACCCAGTTCAAGTCCTTGTCCTGCCACAGTGACTTAGTCTAGCGACCGCACCTCCTGGAGCCTCCATTTCCTCATTTATAAGGTGGACGTGCTATTGCCATCTTCCCTGTGGGGTTTGGGAGGAGGAAATGGGTTAATATGTGTGGGTAACATATCCAGGCATATAGCATAGTGTTAAAAGCATAGACTCTTGAACCTCCCTGAGTTCAAATGCCTGCTCAATACCCATGAGCTGTTTGACTTTGAACAACTCCCTAACCTCCAGGGATCTCAGTTTCTTTATCTGTAAAGCAGGAATGAAAATAGTACCTACCTTATAAAGTATTAGATTTAAACGCATGGATATAGGTAAGGCACTTTAGAACAGGGCCCGGCACAGAGTAAATGCTACACATTGCTACCATTGCTATAACCTAATAAGGTTGTTAGGCATTTCATGATAAATGGCATCACTGTAAAATGCCTAGACATAGAGTAAGAGTCAATTACTCTTACTCAATAATAGCAGTAGACGCTACTATTATTATTATCATTATTTGGCTCATCTTGTAATTATTTTACTCACCTTGTTCCAAAAAGATAAAAAACCCAACTGCCAATATCTTAATTTAAGATATGATCAGTAACTGTGACAAAGACCAGGACACTGGGGTCATCCCCTCAGCACATTCTCTCCCTGTGGCCAAACTGATGGAAGCTGAGTCTTAATCAGAAGGATTAGGATATTTAATTTAATTGCCACAAGAAATTACTTTCAGAGCTCAGAAATCCTTGACATTGGTTTTCTGACTGATTTTTAAAAATTTATTCCACATCCTCACCAACACTTGTTATTTCTTGTCTTTTTGATGATGGCCATTCTAACAGGTGTGAGGTGATATCTCCTTGTGGTTTTGACTTGCATTTCCCTGATGATTAGTGATGTTGAGCCTCTTTTCATGTACCTGTTGGCCATCTGTGTGTCTTCTTTGGAAAAGTGTCTATTCAGATCCTCTGCCCATTTTTAATCGGACTGTTTTTTTGCTATTGAGCTGTCTATGAGTTTTTCTATATTTGGATATTAACCCCTTATCAGATACATGATTTGCAAATATTTTCTCCTATTAAGTAGGTTGCCTTTTTACTTTGTTGATGGTTTCCTTTGCTGTGCAGAAGCTTTTTAGATTGATGTGGTCCCACTTGTTTATTTTTGCTTTTGTTGCCTTTGTCTTTGGTGTCAAATCCAAAAAATCATTGCCAAGACCAATGTCAAGGAGCTTACTGCCTATGTTTTCTTCTAGGAATTTTATGGTTTTAGGTCTCACATTCAAGTCTTTAATCCATTTGAGTTGATTTTTGTGTGTGGGATAAGGTAGGGGACCAGTTTCATTCTTTTGCATGTGACATCCAGTTTTCCCAGCACCATTTATTGAAGAGACTGTCCTTTCCCCATTGTATATTCTTGGCCCCTTTGTTGTAAATTAATTTACCATATATGTGTGAGTTTATTTTGGGGCTCTCTATTGTGTTCTATTGATCTATGTGTTTTTATGCCAATACCATACTGTTTTGATTACTATGGCTTTGTGATGTAGTTTGAAATCAGGAAGTGTGACGCCTCCAGCTTTGTTTTTCTTTTTCAAGATCACTTTGGCTATTCAGGGTCTTTTGTGGCTCCATACACATTTTAGGATTGTTTTTTCTATTTTGGTGAAGAAATGCTGTTGGAATTTTGATAGGGATTGCTTTGAATTTGTAGATTGCTTTGGCTAGTATGGGCATTTTAATAATTTAATTCTTCTAATCCCTGAGCATGGAATATCTTTCTATTTATTTCTGTCTTCTTCAATTCTCTCATCAATGTCTTATAGTTTTCAGTGTACAAGTCTTTCACTTCCTTGGTTAAATTTATTCTTAGGTATTTTATTCTTTTTATGCTCTTTAATCTCTTTTAATCTAGAACAGCCCCACTGCTTTTTTTTTTCATAGTTTGGATCTTTTGAAGGGACCAGGCTAGCTGTTTTGTAGCACTGTCCCACATTCTGGATTTATCTGATTGTTTCCTCATGGTGGTGGTTAACTTGTTCTTCTGTTATCTGAATGTCCTATAAACTAGAAGTTAGGTCAAACAGCTTGATGAGGTTCAGGTTAAACATTTTTGGCAAGAACACTTGAGAGGTGATGCCGGTACCTCACGTGGCATCACAAGGCACACACTGCCAGAGTGTCTCACCATTAAGGATGCTGAGTCTGACCATGGGGTTACAGTGGTGGCCGCAGCTCTCTCCATGGTAAGCTGCATCCTCCCCTTTGCAATGACCAGTTACTTTGTAAGGGGATACTTTGGCCGTGTACAAATGACGCATTTTCCCGTCATCCTTTTCACCTACTTGTTATGCTATCCAGTTCTGATTCTTGCCTACTGTATTAGAGTTGTGACATGGTATCTTTCTAATTCTGTCATGCCTTCTACGTTTGTTCATTGAGGTTCTTCTGTAAAGATGAGCCTTCCTTCACCAAGTGGGCTTTCCAGGAGCTCTGATAGCTATATTTTTAACAAGCTCCAGGGAACTCTGATGTTTAGATAGATTCTCATCAGGATCCTTTAATGACACAGAAAACACCTCAAACTAGCTCCACATTAAAAGGGGAGTTCTTAGCAAGACACAGGGGCTCTCCTGGAGCCCAGCTGCAGGAAGTACAGCTTAACAGGAGCTGAAAATTGTACAGCAGCTCCTTTCTTGGACCTTATTCTCTGCCTCCCTCTGCATATTTGCTACTTCATTCTTTCCACAGAATGCCTTCTTAAAGTCTCTCCGTTTCTGCTTCCCCACAACCTGGGTTCACGCAAGGCTGTAGGCAGGCTCTGAGCCCCTTATCTGTCTGGGTGTCATAACCCGAATTCTCTCTTCAGAGAATCTGGCTGAACGCAGGAAGCTGTCCATTGGCAGTGGCCTGTACTGTAGAGCCACACACATTCCAGCAGGGGCTGGGGCAGCTTAGGAGGGCCAAGGGGTGGAGAGGTGCTGGTGGGGGCATGGCTAAGACTCCCGCAGTCCTCTGGGTTACTAATCTCAGGGTCCCTGTGACTCTCCAGGTACTGATTCAGGCCTCCAGCGCCAGACCCCTGAGAGGACAGAGGTGGGCTTCTCATTTCTCAGCCCCAGAAATTAATTCCATCCGTCTCTGCCCTGAGTCCTTCTGGGCCTAGGATTCCAACACCACTGTCTGAACAGCCTGTCTCCTCTTCTTTCCCACAGCCTCCCGTGGAGGTACCCCAGTATGTGGGTATCCGGCTCCTAGTAGAGGGCTCTGCCATCAAGAAGCCCCTGGCAATGTGTCACCGGCGGACAGGGGTCCGCCCAGCTCTCCCTCACCTGCTGACCCAGCAAGGCTCTGGGGAAGGCAAGGACTTGGGGACTCTTACCCACAGGTCAGCTCCTAGGAAGGCTGCTGGGGACAGGAGCCTGGGGCACACTGAGAAGCCAGACTCCACTGCCACCACCTCGGCCCCTGGAAAGGGGAAGAAAGGCAAGGCGAAAAGTGCCACAGCCCTGGTCCGCCCCAATCTCCCGAAGTGGGACCCCTCCAGCACCGGGATGGGCTGCATCTTCACCATGACCTTTGCTAGTGGGGACAGGCAGCCCCACCCCTTGAACAGATTGCCACTGAGTCTGAAGAACCCCCAGGCCCTGGGTAAGACCATTTCCCCCAAATACCCCAGGGGCCCAAGGCAGTTTCTTCCTGCTCTCCAAGCCCCTCCTAACCGCCTGGATTTGCCCCCACCCACAGCCCCACCAAAGAACCACTGGTAGCAAGTAGAGGCCATCACTTACAAAGTAGTCACCCTGCGAGGCAATTGTCCGTATTTCAAAGATGCCAGGGCTCAGTGCCAGGCCCATCTCTCTCCATAGCCCAAGCTTTTCCTGCCACAGTATTCTGACCTTGCCTCCACACAAAGTCGCCTCTGGGGGAAGGAAGGACTGTTTGTGCAGCACCTAACAGTCTACACTGTGTTGCTACCTAAGCAGCTCCTCTAGTCCTCACAGCCTAGCGAGGTAGGTGCTATTATCCCCATTTTCCAGCCGAGGAATCAGGAAGTTTAAGGAAGTTGCCCGAGGTTGCACAGCTCAGAAGGGGCCGAGCTGGGATGCAGACCCAGGTCTGTTGGACCCCAAACCCCGTGTCCTTCCCACGGCCTCTGGAGGAGGAACCGGGAGGGCTCCATCTGCCCTCACACGCCCCAGCCCTCACCTCCTCTCCCTCCACACACACCTGGAGGGGCAACTGCCAGCTCTGGGCCCTCCCCAGACCCTCACAGCCCTTCTTGCTCCCGCAGCCCCTTACCACTTCCCCAGCTTCCACACCAAGGCCCGGCTGCCTTCCTCCTATGTGCTCCGACCCCAGGGGCGAGTCCTCAGACTGCAGCACAGCAAGCTGGTGGGCCCTAAGGCCCTGTCGACCACAGGCAAGGCCTTGATGACTCTACCTACCGCCAAGGTTTTCATTTGCTTCCCACCTAACCCCGAGCTCAAGCTGGCATCCAACGTCCTGAAACCAAGAAAGGTGGGCCTCAAACTGTGACTCGCAGCCTGGCAGGCAGTGCTGAGTACTGGGGTCAGGGCTGGAGGGTAGGGCAGAGGGCAGCTCCCAGGCTGCTGGAGCCCCAAGGGCAGGGCTTGTCTCCCTTGGAACCCCTTCCTGGACAGATTCCTGATCATCTCTTCTCCTTCTCCCCTCCTTTCACACCGAGGCTGTTGCTCCCCCGTGGCATCCTGGAAATGCCTTGTGTTCTCTACCCTTTGAAGTTGGAAATCTTCCTAGCACCCAGAGGAAGATCAAGGCCAAAGGCAAGTTCAAGGCCAGACTTGACAAACCCAAGGCTGAGGCATGCCTCATGAAGACAGTGAGCCTCCCAAGCAAGACCTCTGCCCCTCATCGATACATACCATGGGCTGGAGGGGCATGGGGGACGCGAGGCTAGAGAAGCCCTGGCTTCCATCCACACTGCCTCGCTCCTGGATGCAGCACCAAATAAAAAGGAGCAAGTGAAGTATCCTAGGCTTGGCTCCATTTCTATTGGAGGGTGAAGAGAGTGTAGGCTGGGGCCCTGTACCCCAAGGTCCAGAACGAGAGCTAGAGGCCACCAGCAACTCGTCCACAAAGCAAGAATTCCCAGCTAGTGACAGACATGGGTTTCCTGTTCAGAGACTCCCTTGGCATCTCTGATCTTTGGGTCGGGGATAAGCCTCACTTTACAGATGAGGAAACTGAGTCTGAATGAGGAGACATGTCTTACGCAAGATCACGTGGCAGTGAGCAAAAGGCTAGGACACATTGCCAGAACTGCTGACCACTGGGAGTGCCCCCAACCTCCAAGCCCAGAGGAGCTGGGCTGATAGCAGAATGACATCTAATGGGCACAAGATTTACAACATGAGACAGGAGTAAGGGTGGGCCTTGCCTAAACCCCAGCCCTTCTCTAGAGGGAGCAGGTCTGTCCCTTCCTCAGCAAGGGGCCAAGGTCACCTAAAAAGGAAATATCCAACAAGCCACACCCATCTGAAAACGTTTGGTAGTTCTTAGTCGTAATGGGTTGAATAGTGCCCCCTCTCCCCCCAAAATATGTCTACCTGTGAATATGACTATTTGGAAAAAGGGTCTTTGTAGATGTAATTAAGTTAAAGATCTTGAGAGGAGATCATCCTAGATTATCCAGGTGGGCCCTAAATCCAATGACAAGTGTCCTTATAAGAGTCAGGAGAGGACACAAACACGAGGCGAAGGCCCTGTGAAGATGGAGGCAGAGACTGGAGTGATGCGTCCATAAGCCAGGGAACACCTGGAGCCACGAGAAGCTGAAAGAGGCATGGAGGGATCCTCCCCCAGAGCCTCCAGAGAGCGCACGGCCCTGCGGACACCTTGAGCTCGGACTTCTGGCCTCCAGAACTGGGAGAGGGTCACCTTCTGTTTTTAAGCCCCCCAGGCTGTCTTACTTTCTTACGGCAGCCCTGGGAAACTAAGGCGCTAGTCAAATGAAGACACTAAACTCTGATCCAGAAATTCTTGCATAACTGAACCAGGAAATGCGTACACGCAGGCGCACAGCACATCGTGGTAACAGCTGAGTGACCTAACTGTCCATGGACAGTGGAATGGCTAAACTGAGGCGCATTCCAGTGCCGGAATTCACACTCCACGCCATACAACACAGACGCCTTGCACAGTGTGGTGCAAGAGCAGATCATGAAAGAATATTTACAGCCCAGTTCCATTTATAGAAACTGCAGAAACAGGCAAAATGAAATATATTGTTTAGGGATGCATATGTATGGAGTAAAACTTACCACAAAAGACAAGCAAGGAAAGGATTCTCCCAAGTCAGGGCAGTGGTTTCCAATCTAGACTGAACAAGAGAACCCCTCTGGGAGCTTTTCAAAAAGGTTGATGCCCGGGTCTCCATCCCAGACTGATTAAACCAGTATCCTTGGGGTGCAGAACCGTGGGGAGGCACAGGGATGTTTCTAAGCTTCCTGAGGGGCTGGGTAGGGGTTTCTAACGTGGGACCAGGGTTGAGAACTGCTGCTGTACAAGGAAGGAGAGGGGTGTTTCTATCTCGTGCCCAAGAGGTGGTTATATGGCTGTCACCTTATAATTACAGTCATGCGCTGATGAACGATGGGGACACCTGAGAAATGCATCATTGTGTGGACCTCATAGCGTGTACCTACACAAACCTAGATGGTATAGCTATTATACACCTAGGCTGTATGGCACTAACCTCATGGGACCACTATCATATATGCGGTCCATCACTGACTGAAACATTGTTATGTGGCGCGTGGCTGTATTCTTTAAATCATAGCGATGTTTTGTGCACTCTTTGTATGTTTTATATATTTCACAGTTTTTTAAAGTAAAAGATATAGCATCTTTGCTTAAATGAGGTACCTAGAGTGGTCAAATTCATAGAGACAAAGGAGAATGGTGGCTACTAGGCGCTGAGAGGAAGGCAAATGGGTAGTCACTTGGGAAAGGTGAAAAAAGTTCTGGAGATGGATGGTGGTGATGGCACACAACAGTGTGAATGTGCTTAATGCCACTGAACTGTACACTTTAAAATGGTTACGATGGTAAATTGTGTTAGGTGTGTTTTACCACAATAAAAAAAAAAATCTGGGGCCGGCCCGGTGGCGCAGCAGTTAAGTTCGCACGTTCCACTTCTCGGCGGCCCAGGGTTCACCGGTTCAGATCCCGGGTGCAGACATGGGACCGCGTGGCAAGCCATGCTGTGGTAGGCGTCCCACATATAAAAAGTAGAGGAAGATGGGCACGGATGTTAGCTCAGGGCCAGGCTTCCTCAGCAAAAAGAGGAGGACTGGCAGTAGTTAGCTCAGGGCTAATCTTCCTCAAAAAAAAAAAATCTAACATTCCTCCTAGTTAGAATTGAGACAGAAATGGCCAAATAAAAGGACCCACACACTGAACTCAGCAGGAAGCACAGTCCATGATAAACATTTACTTTCTCAGCAAATCCTCAAAACCATACTATGAGGTAGTTACTTTTATTATCTCAAGTCCAGACAGGTGAAGTGATTTGTCCAACGCTACACAGCAGGTGGCCTAGCCAGGATTTGCTCTTAGATTTGTCCAACTACACAGCCTAGGATCTTAAGCCATGGCCTTAGTGCACATTGAGTACTGACCTCATTCTCCTCCGGCCACTCTCCCCCCAGCCCCCACTGCTTTCCAGTGAAAACAGAAGAAGGGACAGCAAGAACATGAGGACTATTGCTGGCCAAGTCCCAGGCACTGTAGGGTCCTGGAGAAATAAGGGGGAAGGGGTGCCAGAAGCTCGAGGGGGGCGTCCCTGGGCCTGGCACCTGGGAGGTGGAGACGATGCAGGTGGAGGTGCAAGGGCAGCCGGGTGGCCTGGGAGGGGCTCAGGTGGAGGCGTCTGAGGAGGGCTTCGTCTAGGACCTGGGGTGGGAGAGACATGTCAGCGTTCAGCCAGGTGAGTCCAACTAGCTGAGCACCAGCTCCAACCAAAATGGCAGTGAGGCAAGTACTTCTTCCCTCCTTCCATGTCCGTCGTTGTCATTCATTTCCTCGTTACACGTACACACTCATGCACACTCACACCACGGGAGAGACTGGCTGGGGCTTCACATCAGTTTCTACCTGGACACACAGCTAAACTACATTTCCCAGGCCCCCTGCAGTTTGGTGAGGCCAGGTGATTGGGTACCAGCCAACGGAACAGGAGTGCAAGTATGTATGCCACTTCCAGACTTGGCCCACGGAAACCTCCCATGTGAGCCTGCACTGTCCCTCATCTGCTGGCTGGACAGCAGCAGCCTGGGAGCCTGAGTGACGGGAGCAAAGCCCACCCTACCCCACCCCGGCCCCCATTAACTGGACTTAACATGGAGAGAATTGATTGTGTTAAGACTCTGATACTTTGGGGTTACTCCGTTAGAGCAGATAGTTATCCTAATATACACACAACCTCTTCTACCCCTTGTACCAAAAGAACAGTGGACTTATAAGCTGCTCAACTCCCTTATTGAACAGGCGGGCAAAATGAGGCCCAAGAGAGGGGGTATCACTTGCTCAAGGCCACACAGCATGACAGGGCTCCAGATAGCCTTGGAAGCCAAGAGGCCTGCCTCCCAGTCCCAAGCTGCATGGCTCCTGTCTGGAGATGCTGCCCACCCTCACCCCCACCCCTGAAGGCAGCAGGCACGCAGGTTTGGGTACCTGTCTTTGGGTCTTGGTGCTGGCAGCTGGCAACAGAAAGCGCTGGCCCAGGACAGTGCCCACGCGGGCAGAGTATGTGTGGTCCCCAAGAACAGGGCAGAGCTCCAGTACCATGTGCACCTGTAGCTGACTGGGGAACGCTGGGAGACAGAGGAGACAAGACAGATAGTGAGCAGCTGCTCCTCCTGTCCCAGCCAGTGTAGTCCGTCTTACTTTCCCCTGGGGAAACACCACCCCCCAGGTTCAGATCGTGGGGTTTCAGTGAGGTCAATGCCACCACCCCTGCGTCCAGAGCAGGGCACATGACAGGTCAGGACAGTCATAGCTGTCAATCCACCTGGCCTATGGGATTTGCTCATGAAGAGATGCAACCCTGAGTTTATCGTTGCAGCTCCTGGGAAGAAGGAATACTCTCTCCTGGTGGGGGGCGAGCTTGGAGCTGCTGGAGCACCTGGCCGTCTCTGCCTTCACTAGGGGAGCACCTGTGCGAACAAGAAGCCAACACGCAGGAGGCAAGAAGCAAGACATGGCTTCCTGATGGCATCCTCCGAGCCTGTGGATCCAGCCATGCCTGAACTTTAAGTTACGTGAGCCAACAAGTTCCCTTTTATGATTTTCACCAACTTGAACTGACTTTGGGGAAACTTACAACCAAAAGTACCTTGACAAATACAGAAATGGAGGGCATGTGCTAGGCACAGTATGAAATGCTTCACATATGTAAACTTAGTTAATCCTTCTGACAGCCCTATAAGGTGGGTCCTGTCATCATGCCCATTTTACAGGTAGGAAAACCAAAGCTCAAAAGAAGTGACTTGCCCACCACCATAAGCTGGGATGCAAACCCAGGAGCTGTACTCGCTTCCATGTCTGGCTGTCTGGTGGACTGGATAATCTAAACCCCTCCTGCTACAGACCACCGACTGGAAGATACTAGAAGAATAAGTCATCCTTTCAGAACACAGCTGGGCATATAGGGAAGTAAGGTCCCCAAGACCAAAAAACAGACAGGAAAACAAATCCAGAGCACACGAGAGCCAGTGTTTCACCTACTCTAGAGGTGCTGCCAATTCTGGTGTCCAGGGGGCTTGGGTTTAAGTAGCTACCTAGGGGACAGGGACAAGGCCTTGGTGCCCAAATGAAACCCTAGGAGGGCCACATCTTCAGAGAAAGGGCAGGCCAGGAGAAAAAGCCAGCCACCAATGAAGGCAGATGATCACCCTGGGTCTGGATGAGGGGAATGAAAAAGGCTTCCCCTGAGATTTCACGGGCATGAGCCTGCTCTCACACTGGTTGGGGCTCTAACAGTACTTGAGGGATCTGTGAACTTGCAACTGAGCCGCTAATATCTAGAGAGGGGAACCACAGAGCAATCAGGAAACAATCCACCAAGTGTGAGAGTCAGCATGAAACATAATAGGATTAGACCTTCCAGAATTTCAGACAAGGGAATTATAGATATACAATACAGTGTGTTTAAAATGATTAAAGACAAAAAAGAACAAATATGAGAAAAAACCAGATATCATATTTTTTAAAAGGCAGTTTGCATTTGTAAAAGAACCAAACAGAATTTCTAGAAGTGAAAAATACAGTTAAAGGACAGGTTAAACTGGCAGATTAAAAATCCAAATGAAGAGAACATTACTCAACTGGAGGATCTAAAGGAATTAGTCAGAAAGCAGCAGAGATAAAGAAACAAAAGTATGAAAGCAAAGTTGAGACATAGCGAGTAGAAGGAAAAGGTAAGACATGTCTGTTACGCATTCAGAAGGAGGAGAGCGAAAATGCCAGAAGCACGACATGTGAAGAGAGAAAGCATTTTCCAGGGTGGATGAAATATATTAATCTTCATATTCAAGACGCAAAGTGAATTGAAAGCAAGATAAATAAAACTAAACCCGCACACCTAGATTCATCATAGTGAAACTACAGAACACCAAAGACAAAGAGAAGGTCCTGAGACCAGGAAGAGAAAAGATTGACGAGTTGCAAAGGAACGGCCGTCAGACTTACAGCAGAACACTGCCTCCTCCCGCTGGGCTGCTCACGTGCTCCCCCGGCTGCCGCTACCACCCCCCTCTTCCTCCCACCCCCTTGCCTCCTCCAGCCAAATACAGTTGTAAAGGCTGAGCTGGGGCTCCAGACCCACCTGTCAGTGGCTGCAGCTGGACCAGGGCACAGCCAGAGCCTGTGGCCACCACACGGAAGTGACTGAGGGTCCTCTTAACACCTTCCAGGATGTCCTTTCGGGAGGGAGACTTCACTGGAACTACCTGTGGTGTCAGCCCCCAAGAATGAACAAGCTTTGCACACGCCTAGGAGCTACACCCAGACCCTCCCTGCTCCCAACAGACGAAGGACAGGGCCACAGTATAGGCAGTAGTCCCTTGCTTGTTTTAGGGGACAGGAGAGCCAGCCATCCCAAGTCCACCCCCTTGACTCCTCTGTAGGGGTAATATGTCTGGAAAGTCCCTTCCTCTATCCCACTCAGACCCTGACTCACAAGATCAACGCCGTCAGTGTGTTCCAGCTTCAGAGCTGCTTGGATCTTCCCCTCAGATGTAGCTGGGATCCCGTCAGTGACAGCACTGAGGAAGAGGCAGGAAGAGGTCACAGAGCGGCTTGTGGGACCTCCCCACAGCCGCGGAAGCCTCCCAGCCCCTCTCACCAATAGGTGGCCGTGGGTCTCTGGGATCTCCGTGAGTGGATGAAGAACTTCTGGAGACGGCTTGCTGTCTGGGGACAAGTGGAGAGAAGTACAAGCCCAGAGGTCTCCCTGGAGGAAGGGACAAATCACAAAAGTTAAAGTCCCTTGGGCTCACCCACAAAAAAGGGAGATCCCTAGGAACGAACACTGACATGCTTAAGGCCAAGCAGTAACACGAGAACTCTAACCCGGACCTCCTCCAGGGAAGCCAGGCTTCCTCATGGTTGATGGTAAGACTACGTAGCTGAATGTGTTTCCCATTCTTCCTTGGCCTCCAGGGAGCTCAGAGCCAAAGGCCATAACAATTACCACCAACTGCTGAATGTCCACCATGTGCCAGGCACAACACTAGGAATTTTACATATATGAGCTCTTAAATAATTAAATTCCCCCTAAACAAGTCCATGAGTTTGTGGAATCGCAGAAATACCATCAATACCTCAAGTACCATCTCTGATGGATGGCAGTTAGGG